GTATTTACTGTATATTTTCTCCTGCATTAGATCTTCCAAAATGCATAACGTTGCATTTGTCCAGATTAAACTCCATCCACCATTTCTCATCCTCCGGCAATCCTCCTCATGGTCCACAGCTCCCCCAGTCTTTGGGTCATCCACAAACTTACTAATAAGACCACCTACATTCTCCTCCAAATCATTAATACATATATCACCTACAACAGGGGTGCCAGCACTGATCCCGGCGGAACAGCACTGGTCACAGATCTCCAGCATTATTCACTCTCTTACATAGAGTCATACAGTCATACAGCACGGAAACAAATCCTTCGGTCCAACTCGTCCATGCCAGCAAAGTTTCCCAAATGAAACTAGTCCCACCTGCCTGCGTTTGGCCCACACCCCTCTAAACCTTTCCTATTCATGTACTTATCTAAATGTCTTTTAAATTTTGTAACTGTAATTGCATCTACCACTTCCTCTGGCAGTTCATTCCACATACAAACCACCCTCTATGTGAATACTTTGCTCCTCGGGTCCCTTTTAAATCTTTCTCCTCTCACCTTAAAATATGCCTTCTAATTTTGAGCTCCCCCACCTTAGGGAAAAGACCTTCGCTATTTGCCTTATCTATGCCCCTCATGATTTTATAAACCTCTATAAGGTCACCCCCTGAACTTCTTACTCTCCAATGAAAAGAGTCCCAGCCTATCTAGCTTCTCTTTATAAGTCAAACCCTCAATCCTGTTAAATCTTTTCTGAACTCTTTCCAATTTAATAATATCCTTCCTACAGCAAGGCAATCAGAACTATACACAGTACTCCAACGTCCTGTACAACCTCAAAATGATGCTCCAACTCCTGTACTCAAAATCTGAGCAATGAAGGCAAGTGTGCTAAATGTCTTCTTTGTCACCCTGTCTCCCTATGACATAACTTTCAAAGAACTTTGTACCTCGACTCCTAGGTCTCTCTGTTCGACAACACCACCCAGGGCTCTACCATTAACTGTATAAGTCCAGCCCTTCTTTGTTTTACCAAAATGCAATACTTTACTTTTATCCAAATTAAACTCCATCTGTCACTCCTCAGCATGTTGGCCCAATTGATCAAGATCCCTTTGTAATCTCAGATAGCCTTCTTCACTGTCAACTAAATGACCAAGCCAGTTCTGGACCTATCTTACCAACTCACTGCAGATCCCATGTGACTTAACCTTTTATATCAGCCTGCTAAGAGAGATCTTGTCAAAGGTCTTGCTAAGGTCCACATAACAACATTCACTTCCCTGCCCTCATCAATCATTTTATAATTTCCTCAGAAGTCTCAAATTGTGAAACACAGCTTCCCCTGCACAAAGCCATGCTGCCTATAGCTAATACATCCATAATTTTCCAAATGTGAGTAAATCCTATTCCTAAGAATCTTCTCCAATAATTTTCACCACTGACGTAAGGCTCACTGGTGTGTAATTTCCTGGATTATCCCCGTTGCCCTTCTTAATCAAAAGAACAACTTTGGCTATTCTCCAATCCTCTGGAACCTGCCCTGTGACTAAACAGCATACAGAGATTTTATACAAGGCCCCAGCAATTTCCTCACTTGCCTCTTTTGGAATTCTGGAATAAAGCCCATGACGTCCTGGAGACGTGTCTACCTTAATACTTTTTAGAACACCTTCTCAAGTGCAATTAAGGATGAACAATAAATGCAGGCATAGCCAGTGATGCCCACATGCCATACATGAATATTTTAAAAATACCTAGCGCTACCACAATGCTAGCCCCAATCTAGTCCTCATTCAAGATTCAGAAAGGCACTTCTTCTTTAACAAAGGTCTGTGATCAAAAGCAGGTCTGCTTGCTGAATTTTCAACTGCAACCATTTAAAGCATTTCTATGGTTGAGATTTAGAAGCAAATATAGGGTATTTACCAGAGTTCCACATTGAGGAATACAAGTACCAACTAAGCAGTGAGTCACACCCATCTAAACAGGCAGATTTGATATTATTTTTAAGAATGATACACTCCAAGATGGAGGCACATTTTAAAACAGAAATTAGCGATAACTACTTAGATCTGTGGTAGCTGTTACTGTACATTTAAAGCACATGATGGAGGGATCATAAACAGCCTGTAAATGCATCAAAATTTTTAAAATCAGAATAAGAATCATAGAGCACAGGAGGCAGCCAATGGCCTATCAGGTCTACGCAGGCTCCTTCAACAAAGTTAGTCCCACTCCTTGACTCTTTACCCATGTACCTATCAATAGTTTGCTCCTTCAAGTTACCTTTCAAAAGTTTCTAATGAGTCTATTTCCAACACCCCAAAAGGTCATCATTAGCAACTTGAAGTGCCTGCAAGATAAGTATAATCCAAGCAACAAGATCTACAATAACTCGCTGAGAAAAAAATAGTCAAGAAAGTTAAATTATTAAAACCCTTCTCTTCTGAATAGAATACGGGAACAAACTGGCTCCATTCATTCACATTGTTCAGATCTCAAATGGATCAATTGGTTTCTATTTATTCCCATCATTGTTAAATTTCTACTTCCTGATTTCAGTGCTAGGTCCTGCCAGGAATGGATCTATGCAAAAAGGGGATCAGCCAATGCAAATGGACTCAGCTAAGAAATTTAAGAGCATTGGTCATTCAGCAGACATTACGCTTTTTGGTGGTGACAGATGCTCCCGCCCATGAACTGTCAGCTCATGTTCCAACCTTTTGTCATTTATTCAAATTATAATCTAACATTCCCTGATCCAAAGGTAAGAACAAATGAAAAAGAAATGCAAAAATGGTTACAGATAGAGATAGTTCAAGAGAAGATGTGGTACATGATGACGATTTTTGAATATACTATTAATTGCATTCTGACAAACAAGCTCTTCATCTAATAGAGTCATACAGTCATACAGCATGGAAACAGACCCTTCCATCCAGCCAGTCCAGACCAACCATAATCCCAAACTAAACTAGTCCCACTTGCCTGCACTTAGCCCATGTCCCTCCAAACATTTCTTATTCATGTATTTATCTAAATGTCTTTTAAATGTTGTAACTGTATCAGCATCCATTCCTTTCTCTAGAAGTTCATTCCACACACAAACCACTCTCTAAGAAATTACCCCCATGTCTTTTTAAAATCTTTCTTCTCTCAACTTAAAAATATGAACCCTAGTGTTGAAATCACCCACCCTAGGGAAAAGATATCTGTCATTCACCTTATATATACCTCTCATAATTTTATAAACCTCTGTAAGGTCACCCCTCAACCTCCTTTGCTCCAGTGAAAAATGTCGCAGTCTATAAGCATCTTCCCACAACTCAAACCTTTCATTCCTAGCAATATCCTGGTAAATTTCTTCTGAACCCTCTCCAGCTTAATAATATCTTTCCTGTAACAGGGTGACCAGTAGTGGACACAGTACTCCAGAAGAGACCTCACCAACATCCTGTACATCATCAACAAAACATCCCAACTCCTATACTTAAAGGTCCGAGCAACAAAGGCAAGCGTGCTAAACGCCTTCTTATCCGCCTATATGTGATGCAAATTTCAAAGAATTATGTACCTGAACTCTTAGGTCTCTCTATTCTACATTACCCAAACTCCTACCCTTGATTGTTTTACCAAAATGCAATACCTCAGATTTATCTAAATTAAACTCCGTCTCATACTTGCAAGAACACTTAATGTGAACAGAAAATAGCAACATACAATACATTGAACACAATGCAAGAAAATAAAAATAACTAGAGAAACTCAGCATGCTTAGCAGCATCTGTGGAGGGATGAAGAATTAACTTTTTCTCTTTCCACAGATGTTGCTAGACCTGCTGAGTTACTCCAGGAATTTCTGGTTTTGGTTGTTTCAGATCTCCAGTATCTGCAGTTCTTTGCTTTATTTTTATGACAGAAAGCAACTTCTGATTCAAAAACTAGTACACATGTGAGTAGTTAAAAGACACTATAGTCTAGCTGGTTGAAAACTGATATTCAGGACTAAGATGGCGGCAGAATAAGACATTCCAACCAGAGCCCCTCTGCTCGCCAGCTCCTTTTCCTTTTTCTTTCTTTCATACCCCCTTTGCAGCAGCTTCCCCTCACGGTCACCAACATTTAACTTCCCTATCTGGAGAATGGAAGCAAGATGAAGGGAGACAAGTCACGGGCCAAGTCCTGGAGCGGGGAGCAGAGCGAGTGCAGGCTGAGTCACGAAAACAAGTTGTGATCAGATTCCGGAGCAGGGAGCAGAGTGAATGCTGGCCAAAGCCCAGAGCGGGGAGCAGAGCAAGCATCGGCGAAATCCCGGAGCGGGAAGCAAAGCAAGCACTAGCCAAGTCCTGGAGCAGGGAGCAAAGCGAGCACATGCCGAGCCATGGAAGAAAATCGTGGCCAGGGCCTGGAGCGGGAGCAGGTTGAGGCTAGGCCAGCTGGGGGACGAGTCCTGGAGGAGAGTCCGGGACAGAGGTCAGCACATAGAGGCAGTGAGGCCTCATGTTCTGAAGCCTGGCGGGCATGGACTCAGTGGAAAAGACGATAACTTGAGCACTTTAAAGACACTTCTTATTCTAATTATGGACTTTTAAACTATGTATTCCCATGCAAGTCTTTTTTTTTTACTATTTCAATTCTGTGACAACATTTAAAGTATCTGTACCTAGGTACCCTGTACCTAAGATGGTGCCAAGAGGCAACATTACAAAATATTCACTACATTCATTCGACTTGCACATGACAATAAAGGCTATTCTATTCTTCTGTTCTAAACTATTCAGCTTCTGGTTTGTTGTATAAATCTAGATTAAAGGAAATATCAAACCCAAGGGGTTTATCCATGTTAATACTGTACAGAACAAGCAAAATTATAGCTTTCACAACAAAACTTAAAACATAGAATTGATTTTAAGCAGTTTGACCCTATCATCTGTTTTTAAAGGCCAAACATAAACTATAAGCAACAGTACAGAATTAACCAGAACCATAAGTGACAACATCCCCTACCTCAATTGTTCCTTGAAATGTCTTTGAATGATAGGATATCTCTGGCTCCTGATGATAATGGTGCCCTGTATATGTTTTGTCGGTTAAGACTGTAGAGTTTGGGCTGTGTCTTATAGTTTCCAGTGCATGATGTTCCAATAGATCTGAAGATGTTTCTCCCCCATAATTCTGTGCCAAGGGAGCATGAGATGTCTGAGTGAAGTCCAGGAGCAGAGGATTCTGCAGATGAAAAGGGTAACAATTGTTCGGTGGTAGCTCAGAAGATAGGAAAGGATAAAGGCTACATATGGGGTACTTTGGAGGGTCTTTAACCATCCTATCAAAGAGATGAGGGGCATTTTGTTGTCCTGTATTCTGTAACTGATTTTGGCAATACTGAAGTAGCCTGGATTGAGGTGGCATCTCTGCTAACTCAGGGCTTCGAGGCTGATTCCATGTTGATGATTGTTCTGTGCTGAAATGAAAGAAATAGAGAGCATTGTTCACATTCAATATGTTTTATGTACAACTGAAAAGCAAAATGTGCATCAAATACTATCCAACTTAGAGTTATCAGCATGTAAAAATGATAATTTTCACATAATTTTGCAATATCCTATTAGCATGTATAATGTAGATTGTGGATATTCATAAATGTATTTATTCGTTTAGTGAATGCAAATCGCCAAAGCCAAATAATAGGTGATTAGTCTATCACGTTATCTAGAAATGATACATTTCAGCAATATGTACCACATGAGCATAAGGGGTTGCTACTCAGGTCCCAGTTGTGGAGATTGACTATATAGGAATCTAGGTCTGCCCTGAACCACTTTATCAAGGGCTGCTTGGGCTGTGGTAGTTCAAAGCCTGCAATTTGACAGATGGAGTTTGCTACAAGGAACTTTGATTAATGTGAAGTGTTGCATTTTGGTAAGGTAAACCAGGGCAAAACTTATACACTTAAGGTAAGGCCCTGGGGAGAGTTGCCGAATGAAGAGGATGCAGATGCATAGTTCCTTCAAAGTGGAGTTGCAGATAGACAAGGTGGTGAAGGCATTTCACACGCTTGCCTTCATTGGTCAGAACACTGAGTACAGGAGTTGGAATGTCATGTTGCAGCTGTACAGGACATTGGTGAGGCCACTTTTAGAAATTCGGGTTGTCTTTCTATAGGAAGGATGATGTTAAACGTGAGAGGGGTCAGAAAACATTGACAAGGATATTGCTGGGACTGAAGGGTCTGAATTATGGGGAGAGACTGAATAGGCTGAAACTATTTTCCCTGGAGTCTCAGAGGCTGAGGGGTGACCTTATGGAAGTTTATAAAATCATGACGGGCACGGATAGGATGAACACCCAAGGTCTTTTTCCTAGGGCAGTTGAGTCTAAAATTAGAGGGCATTGGTTTAAGGTGAGAGGGGAAAGATTTAACAAGGATCTGAGAGGTAACTTTTTCATATAGAGGGTGGTGCGTTTATAGAATGAGCTGCCCTAGGAAGTGGTGGAAGCTGGTACAATTACAACATTTAAAAGGCATTTAGATGGGTATATGAATAGGAAGGGTTTAGAAGGATATAGGTCAAATGCTGGCAAATGGGATTGGGTTAGATTGGGATGTCTGATCGGCGCAGATGAGTTGGACCGAAGGGTCTGTTTCTGTGCTGTATGACTCCATGACTTCTCATGTTTTCCATTTCTTGATCCAAAGAATGTTTGTGGGCAGATCTTGTTTAGGAAGGTTGCTCCATGTCATACACTTAGAATGAAGGCAGGCACTAAGTGGGTTAACTGGTCATCATTGAGTTAAGTGAGGTGCAGCATTGATGCTTTCAATGAACTTGTGTGTTTTCATCAATCAGCAATCTGTGGACACGTGATGTTTGACAGACCAGGATGACAAAGGAGGGCTTTTGAGCAGAGGGTTCCAGTTATGATCAGCATTGTTGTTTTCAATTGATAAACTATATGTCACCAGATTTAACTAAGAAGTTTTCAACATTATGAAAGCAATTAGCAAACAGTTTAGGCAGACACACGAACAGGTAAAGAATAGAGATATATGGACCGTGTGCAGGCAGATTGGATTAGTTTAGAATAGCACCCTGGTTTGGCACAGACATTGTGGGCTGAAGGGCTTGTCCTTGTGCAGTACTGTTCTACATTCTATGCTCTAAGTAGTGCAAGGGCCAAATATCAAAGAACAATAACAGGAGGGAGGAAGGAATTTAGGCAGAATTGTTTCAGTGAAAGAATAATAGTATAATGCAATAAGTTATGCAGAATCCTTATTATTGCGGCAGATGCAAATAAAATAGAGTCAATTAAGTACATTTCTATAGATCAGGGCAATGGTCTGTTAAAAAGGGAGGGAATTACTGAGTTTACTGTTATTTTCCCATTCCTGAGAACCCTAACGTTGATATGATAACCCAGAAGGTAGAATGCTTAACAGGATAGCTACTATCCCTAACACTTTTGCAAAATTGCTTTTTTGAATTCATTCATGGAATGTGAGTGTCCTTGGTTGGGCCTACATTTATTCTCCAGTCCTTAATGATCTTGAACTGAGTGATTTGCTAGACCTTTTCAGAGGGCAATTAAGTGTCAGCCATATTGCTGTGGGTTTGGAGTCACAGGTAGGCCAAACTAGGTAAGGATGGCAGATTTCACTCTGTAAAGGACATTACAAAACCAATACTTATGACAATCAACAATGGCGACAATAGTTACCATTAAACTACCTTTTAATCTGAGATTGTTACTGAATTCAAATTGTATCATCTGCTGTTGAGGAATTCAAACCATTTCCCCAAAAGATTATTTTCAGCTATGGAATATTAGTCCAGTGACATTTCCACTGTACTACCACCTCCCCAGAACATTACAAACACTGGGAATGTAAACAAACTTCAGGATATTAAGTACCTCTTTTACACTCAGGAATCTAATTTGCTAGAGCACAGGCTTGTTTTTCAGGTACAAGAACTTGGAGTGCTGGAGGGGAACTAAGAGTAGACTTTCCATGTAGGTTAAAATGGTGCATTTTTTTCAAGTCATGAAATCAGTCAATACAAAGTATTTATCCTGAAATTTATACCCGCAATTATTTTTGTCTTTTGTTGACAGACATTGATGTTGCTGGCTAAGCCAGCATTTATTTTCCATTCTTATTTACTTGAGAAGGGAGTAGTAATTTGCCTTCTTGAACTGCTGCAAACCATGGATGGTAGGTAGACCCACAGTATTGTCAGGATGTTTTTGACCTGGCAATGGTAAAGGAACAGGGATATAGTTCCAAGTCAAGATGGTGCGTGATTTTCTGTGGTTTGGAAGTGAGCTTGCAGATGATGGTGCTCCTGCACATCTGCTGCCTCGCCTTTTTAGGTGGCAGCAGTAGCCGGTTTAGAAGATGCAATCAAAGGAGTAGGGGCAAGTTGTTGCATTGCATCTTGCAGATGGTACACACTGCTGCCTCTGTGCCTTGGTGTTGGAGGGAGTGAATGGGATGCGAATGAAGTGGGCTGCTTTGTTCTGGATGATAAGCTATGCTCATACAGGCAAGTGGAAAGTCTTCCATAGCACTCTTGACTTGTGCCTTGTGAAAAAGCTTTGGGAGTCAGCAGGCAAGGGGCTTGCGCAAAATTCCTAATTTCTGACTTGCTGTCGTAGCCATATTATTTATGTCATATAATTATAGAGCTGTACAGCATGGAAACAGACCCTTCCGTCCAACTCGTCCATGTCGACCAGATATCCCAAATTAATCTAGTCCCATTTGCCAGCATTTGGCCCATATGCCTCTAAACTCTTCCTGTTTATACACGCATCCAGATGCGTTTTAAATGTTGCAATTGTACCAGCCTCCACCACTCCCTCTGGCAGCTCATTCCATATACATATTACCCTCTGCGTGAAGAAATTGCCCCTTATGTCCCTTTTAAATCTTTCCCCTATCATCTTAAATCTATGCCCTGTAGTTTTGTACTCCACTATCCTGGGGAAAAGACCTTGGCTATTCACCCTATCTATGCCTCTCATGATTTTATAAACTGCTGTAAGGTTGAAATCTAGGGAAATTAGCCCCAGCCTATTCAGCCTCTCCCTACAGCTAAAACCCTCTAACCCTAGCAACATTTTGTAAATCTTTTCTGAACCCTTTCAAGTTTCACAACATCCTTCTTATAACAGGGAGACTACAATGTGGCTAGTCCAGTTCAGTTTCGGGTAAATGGTAACACCCAGAATGTTCACACAGTTTCCAAGTAATTATAATGTCATTGAATATCAAGGTTAAGTGGATAAATTCTCTCTTTTTTGAGTTGTCTTAGGGGAGAAAACCTTACCCTGGTCTGGTCTACGTGTGGCTCAAGACTCACAGCAATGTGGTTGACTCTTAACTGGCCTCTGGACAATTAAGGGTGGGCAATAAATGCTGGTCTAGCCAGCAATGCCCACATTCTGTGAATGCATTAAAAAGATGGCTATTACCTGACACTTAGGTGGCATGACAGTTAACATGTATCCACCCATGACTACATGTTCTCTTGCTGCATATGGACATGAACTGCCCTGATAACTAAAGAGTCACAAAGTGTACTAACATTGTGCAGTCGTCAGCGATTATTCCCACCTCTGGTCTTATGACAGAAGGTAGGTCATTGTTAGTGTAACTGAAGATGGTTGGGCTTGGAACACTACCCTGAGGAATGCTTGCAGTGACATTCCAGGCCTGATATGACTGACCTCCAGTAACCACTACCATCTTCTTCTGTGCTGGGTATGACTCCAACCAACAGAGAGCTCCCCATCAACTCCCATTGACATTTGTCTAGGAGTAGTATACCAGAGATAGGTATTATATGGTTTGGAAAGATCGACAGTAAATAACTATGTAAATGACAAGGTAGAGACAAATTGGAATGCTGAAAGCATACTCTTACCTTTTCTGCACAAATACTGGGATGTCTCCATGTAGTTCGCCTATGTGACTATAGAAGGGTTGCAGATTGAATTTGGAAGCATATTCCTGAAATTGAGATTTGAGAGAGTTTGGAGAGTCCATATCACCACCACAGTCAAGCAATTTTGGCACTGGATTTGAGTAGCTGTGTTCAGTCCATTGGTTGAGTCTGGAATGGAGCCGATTACTCTTCTGAACATGGGACTTCAACAAGGAATTTGTTGTGCCTGGGGAGAAAAAAGACTGATGTTTCATCTTCGTTGCCATATAATTTTCAAAGAAACATTGTCTGATTAAAAAATAGGTTAGTTCAGAAATTCTATCAACTACCAATGAATAAACTATAATTAGTAACTTGTGCTTGTATGTAGTGGGTATGTGGGGGAAGGTAGGAAAGGAGGAAAAGAATGACGGTAAATCTCTTTTGCATATAAAAGCAAAATACTGCAGAGGCTTGAAGTAAAAGCAGAAAATGCAGGGAATAGTCAGGTCAGGGAGCATCTGTGGAAAGTGAAAGATAGTCAATGTTTCAAGTCAAACGCCTTGAAGCAAGTACGAGGCAGCTAGAGGCCAAATTAAAAATCAGAACACCAAATATAATGGTCATTGGACTATTACCTGACCCGCAAGCAAACTGGCGTAAGGTAAATAAGATTAGGGAGATGTCATCATGATTCAGACTGGTGTAGAAGAAATAGGTTTCGATTCATTGGGTGGTGGCACCAGTACCAGGGAAAGTTGGAGTTGAACCATAGGGATGGCCTTCGAATGAACTGTGCTGAGTTGTATGTCAAGGGCAGTAGAATGGATTTCAAATTAAATAGTGAGGGTAAGGGATCACATGAGAAGAGATGTGGTAAATGAGAGGGGAACAAAAAGTAATACAGCAGGGTGGATCATGATAACCAGAGCGTGGCAGGAAGGGACAGAGATGCAAACTTTAGAATGTACAAGTAAATAACACCAGAAATTGCAAAAAATGATAAAAGAACAGAGTTAAAAGCTCTATATTTGAATGCACACAGCATTTGTAATAAAACAGATAGACTGTTAGCATAAATATAAGTAAAATACCTATGACCTGATAGCCATTGCAGATACTGGGTTGTAGGATGACCAAGGTAGGACTTGAATATTGAAGAGTTCGACATTTCAAAAAAGCAGGAAGCTTGGAAAAACTGGCAGGTAGCTTGGTTAATTAATCTAATTAGCACAGTGGTGAGAAATGACCTTGGCTCAAAAGAGCAAGATATAGAATCCAGTTCTGAGGAAGGATCACTGGACCCAAAACATTAACTTTGATTTTTTCTTCACAGATGCTGCCAGAACTGCTGAGCTTTTCCAGCAACTTCTGTTTTTGTTCCTGATTTATAGCATCCACAGTTCTTCCAGTTTTTATCAAGATATAGAGTCAGTTTGGGAAGAGATGAGAAATAGGGAACCATCTACACAAGCTGGTTACAAACCTTAACTGTAACCGCAGGTTAGTAATAGTGCAGAGTATACAGGGGAAAATAAGCTGGGCAAGTCAAAAAGGAACTGTAATAATCATGGATGACTTAATCGACATGGACATTGCATGAATCAAATTGGTAAAACTTAGTTCATAGAGTAAATTTAGAAAAGAGCTCTACAGCATGGAAACAGACCCTTCAGTCCAACTCATCCATGCTGATTAGATATCCTAAATTAATTTAGTTCATTTGTCAGCATTTGGCCAATATCCCTCATATACCCATCCAGATGCATTTTAAATGCTGTAATTGTACCAACCTCCACCACTTCCTCTGGTAGCTCATTCCATACACACACACTACCATCTACGTGAAGAAGTTGCCCCTTAGGTCCCTTTTAAATCTTTCCCCTCTCACCTTAAACCTATGCCCTTTAGCTTTGGACTCCATTCCAGGGAAAGAACCTTGGCTATTCGCTCTATTCATACTCCTCATGATTTATAAGGTCATCCCTCAGCCTCCAACGCTCCAAGGAAAATTGCCCCAGCCTATTTAGCCCCTCCCTATAGCTTAAACCCTCCAACCCTGGTAATATCCTAGGAAATCTTTTCAGAACTCTTTCACGCTTCACAACAATTTCCTATAGTAAGGAGACCAGAATTGCACACAATATTCCAAAAGTTGCCAAACCAATGTCCTGTACAATCGCAACATAACCTCCCAACTCCTATACTCGTTGCACTGACCAATAAAGGCAAGCGTACCAAACACCTTCTTCATCATCCTTTCTACCTGCAACTCCACTCTCAAGAAACTATGAACCTGCACCCCAAGGTCTCTTTGTTCAGGAACACTCCCCAGGACCTTACCATTAAGTGTATACTCCTGCCCTGATTTTCCTTCCCAAAATGCAGCATCTCACTTTTATCTAAATTAAACTCCATCTGCCACTCCTCAGCCCATTGGCCCATCTGATCAAGATCCCATTGTACTCTGAGGTAACCTTCTTCGCTGTCTGCTACACCTCCAATTTTGGTGTCATCTGCAAACTTACTAACCATATCTCCTAAGTTCACATCCAAATCATTTATATAAATGACGAAAAGCAGAGGACCCAGCACCGATCCTTGCGGCACACCGCTGGTCACAGGGCTCCAGTCTGAAAAGCAGCTCTCCAGCACCACCCTCTGTTTCCTACCTTTGAGCCAGTTCTGTATCCAAATGGCTAGTACTCCCTGTATTCCAAGTGATCTAAACACACTAACCAGTCTATCATGAGAAACCTTGTCAAAAACCTTAGGGAAGTCCATATAGATCACGTCCACCACCCTGCCCTCATCAATTCTCTTTCTTAGTATTTAGGATAAATTCTTACAGCAGTCCATACTGAGTCATTTAGGGAGCAGATTATTTTAGACCTGATATTGAGCTAAGAGACAGGATCAAGAACCTTATGGTAATGATGCCTCGAGGTGACAGTGATCATAACATGTTGGATTTCATGTTTGGTTTGAAGCAGTGAAATGTGGATCGAAGACAAGTGTTTTAACCTTGAATAAAGACAGGCAAGAAAGCAGACCTAGCAAAATGAATTGGGAAACTAGATTAAAGGGCAAAGCAGTCAAGATGCAGTGACAGACTTTTAAGGAGATAATTCATAGATCTCCGAAAAAATTCATCCCAATTAGAAAGAAAGACTGTCTGAGAAGGATGCACCATCCATGACTAAATAAGGAAATTATGGATAGCCTCAAATTGAACAAAGCACTGTATAAATCTGCACAGAGCAGCAACAAGCTAGAGAATTGGTGCCTTAAATCTGACCAGCAAAGAATAATTAAAATTGGGAAATATGAATATGAAAAAAAACTACTGAGAAACATAAAAACAGAAAGCAAGAGTTTTTACAAGTATTTAAATATTACATACTCACAGAATCATGCCTTACAGACACCACCATGACCATCCCTGGATACGTCCTGTTGGGACAGACCCAGCACAGGTGGTGGCACAGTGGTGTAGTTGGGAGGAAGCTGCCCTGAGAGTCCTCAACATTGACTCTGGATGCCATGAAATCTCATGGTTTCAGGTTAAACATGGACAAGGAAATGTCCTACTGATTAGCACATACCATCCTCCCTCAGCTGATGAATCAGTGCTTCCCCAAGTTGAACAACACTTGGAAGAAGCACAGATGGTGGCAAGAATACAAAATAGACTCTGGTGGGGAATTTCAATGTCCACCACCAACAGTGGCTTGGCAGCAGCACTGCTGATCAAGCTGAGTGGGTCCGAAAGGATGTAGCTGCTAGACTGGGTCTGCGGCAGGTTGTGAAGGAACCAATAAGATAGAAAAACATACTTGACCTCATCCATGCCTGCTGCAGATGCATCTGTCAATGACAGCATCATTAAGAGTGACCACCACACAGTCCTTGCGGAGACAAAATCTCGCCTTCACATTGAGAATACCACTATCATGTTATGTGGCACAATCATCGTGCTAAATGGAACAGACTTCAAACAAATCTAGCACCCAGACTGGGCATCCATAAGAAACTGTGGGCCATCAACAGCAGCAGAATTGCACTCCAGCACAATCTGTAAACTCATGGCCCGGCATATCCCCCACTCGACCATTACCATCAAGGCAGAGGATCAGCTCTGGTTTAATGGAGAGTCCAGAAGGGCATGCGAGAAGCAGCATCAGACATACATGAAAATGAGGTGTCAACCTGGTGAAGTGACTGAACAGGACTACTTGTGTGCCAAACAACATAAGCAGAAAGTGATAGATAGAGCTAAGCGATTCCACAACCAGTGGATCAGATCTAAACTCTGCAGCCCTGCTATATCCAGTCGTAAATGGTGGTGGACAATTAAACAACTCACTGGAGGAGGAGGCTGCACAAATATCCTCAATGATGGAAGAGCCAAGAACATCAGTGCAAAAGATAACACTGAAGCATTCACAGCTATCTTCAGCCAGAAGTGCCAACTGGATGATCCTTCTTGGCCTCCTCCAATGGTCCCCACCATCACAGATACCAATCTTCAGCGATTCAATTCACTCCAAGTGATATCAAGAAATGGTTGGAGGCACTGGATAATGTAAAGGCTATAAGCCCTGACAATATTCCAGCAATAGTACTGAAGACTTGTGCTCCAGAACTTGCTGTTTGGCATGCAAGTAGTCTTGCTAGGGTTCCTTTTTGCCACACTTGGTTGAGTGCAGCCTTGATGTCAAGGGCTGTCACTCTCACCTCACCTCTGGAATTCAGCTCTCTTGTCCATGTTTGAACCAAGGCTATAATGAGGTCAGGAACTGAGTGGCCCTGGCAGAACCCAAACTTAGCATCATTGAGCAGGTTACTGCAGAGCGGGTGCTGTTTGACAACACTGTTGATGACCCCTTCCATCACTTTACTGATGATAGAGAGTAGACTGATGGGACGGTAATTGGTCATGTTGGATTTGTCTTGCTTTTTATGTACAGGACATACCTGAGCAAATATCCATGTTTTCAGAAAGATGCCAGTGTTGTAACTGACCTCCTGACTCCTCACAGCCTGTCCATTATCTACAAGGCACAAGTCATGACTGCAATGGAATATTCCCCATCTGCCTGAATGGATGCAGCTCTAACAACACTCAAAAAGCTTGACACTATCCAGGACAAAGCAGCCCGCTTGATTGGCACCAATCTACGAACATCCACTCCCTCTACCACCGATGCTCAGTAGCAGCAGTGTGTACAATCCCCAAGATGCACTGCAGAAATTCACCAAAGATCCTTAGACAACACCTTCCAAACCCACGACCACTTCCATCTAGAATGACAAAGGCAACAGATACATGGGAACACTGGTGCCTGCAAGTTCCTCTCCAAGTCACTCATCATTCTGAGTTGGAATGACATTGCTAGGTCAAAATCCTGGAATTCCCTCCCTGAAGGCACTATGGGTCAACCAACGGAATATGGATTGCAGTGGTTCAAAAGGCAGTGCACCATCACCTTCTCAAGGGCAACTAGGGACGGGCAATAAAAATGCTGGCTGGCCAGCGGTCCCCACATCCCGCAATTGAACAAAGAAAAAGTTAACTAAAGCTATGATTTAACTAAGCTAAAACTTAAGCTAAAACTATTGTTACTCCTCTGGAGAGAAAGTCTGAGGAATTGATACCAGCAAACAGGGAAATATCAGAGGCATTGAATTTGCGTTGGTCTGTTACTGTGGAAGATAGAAATTTCCAAAAGATATTTGAGAATCAAGAGCAGAAGAGGACGAAGGAACTTAAAGTAATCACAAGCACCAGAGAAATTGTTCAAATAAAACTACTAGAGCTGAAGACTGAAAAGTTCCCTGCACCTCCAAGCCTGGGGTTTTAAAATAAATAAGTGCAGAGATGGTAGATCTTCTAAAATTCATTCAATTCTGGAAGGGTTCCAGCAGATTGAAAAATAACTGTCATAACACCTTTGCTCAATGAAGAAAGGAGACAGGAAGCAGGAAACTATAGGCCACTTTGCCTAATATCGGTCATATGGAAAGTGCCAGAATCCAGTACTAAGGAGGTTGTAGCCTATGTTCTCTCTAAAGTTTTCTTCTGTGCTGATGTCCAAGGTCTGTGCACAGACAAAAACTGGATGTCAACATTGGGAACGCCATCAGCACACTGATCGGCATGTTTACATCCTTGGAGTGACTACATGGCCACACCATTTAGAGGGAAAATTAGTTATAGCATAAATAAAAACAGCAGGTGCTGGAGAAACTCAGCGAGTCTGGCAGCATCTATGGAGAGAGAAACAGTGTAAAGTTTTGAGCCCAGTATGACTTTTCTTTGGAATTCCAAAGTATTTGCAAGGAAACAGACCATGGGAGAGGAGAGGTTGCTAGTAACGATTAAAAAGTGGGCCAGAAAGAGAAGGAAAGGGAAGTTGTATCTGGAGATGGTGTCAAGCTGGAGACCAATTGTGGAAGTCAAAACTAAGAGGCAAACAAACATACAATTGTATTAAGGAAAAGATGATGATCAGGAGCAACGAAGTCCTTGGAAAACTGGTAACAATGATATTATCAACACAAGTAAAGAAATAGGGGCCATGCTTAATAATTATTTTGCATAAGCACATATAGTCATAAAAGAAATTAATTTGGTAAATATTTGAAAGAATTAAGTATTCCGCCTGGCATATGAACATAACAAATAATATAAGCAAAATAACAGTACAAAAAAATTCTAAAGAATGACAAATCCCCAGAACCAATGGTTTCCATCTCAGGGTTTTAAAAGAAATAGGTGAGACTGTTACATGTATCTTGGCTATAATCTTCAAAGTCTCTCTCAACTCGGAAAATGTTTCTTCACATTGAAAAACTTGACACGTCATTTGTCTATTTAAGATCTGTTTCTAAAGGGAAAGGGGAAATAACAGACAATCTGGCTTCATATCTCTTGTCAGGACAATGCTGAGGTTTATAATTCAGGATAAGGTGACTCAGACCTTGAAAATTCTCAGTTGATCAGAGAGAACCACATGGATTTGCAAAAAGTAGCTCATGTCTGACTCATGGTGAGGAAGGGTCACTTGACCCGAAATGTTAATTCTGTTTTCTCTCCACAATGCTGCCAGACCTGCTGTGTTTTGCCAGCAACTTCTGTTTTTGTTTCGTGTCTGACAAACTCAACTGAATTTTTTGATGAAATGCCCGAATGATGAAATAGGGGAATGTCTATGAAGGTAATGTATGTGGACTTCCAGAAGAAGCTTGATAAAGTCTCTTACTAGAGACAGTGAGTTGATGTTAAAGATTATGGAATTAATGGAACTTAATTGTTAACTTGGTTAGGAAATTGGCTGAGTGGCAGAATTTAAAAACTAAGGATAACAGACACAAATTCAATTGACAGGATGTGATTAGTGGTGCCCCACTTCCATGTTGATGTCTCAAATATTCACTACATCTAATAATTAGTTGGTTGATGGGATAGAAAGACACATATCCAATTTTACTGATCATACAGACAGGTGGAATGGTAAGCAGTAAAGATGGAAACACAAGATATTGTTAGATTATATGACTGGACAAGACTCTGATAAATGGATCTCAATGTAAGCAGACATGAAATCATCCACTTTGGTCCTACAATTGATAGAACAGAATACTATCTAAATCTTGCACATCGAGAAACAGTAGAAGTACAAGATGTTGCAATTACATAAATCTCTGGCTTGACAACTGTTGGAATACCGTGAACAGCTCTAGGCACCACACCTTCGAAAGGATATATTGACCTTAGCTGTCTTGATTTACCACAATGACACCAAGACTCCAAGGCTCCTGATTGAATGAGAAGCTCACCACACGGCTCGAGTACCTGATTGGTGCTTGATCTGGTGGCCTTTCTCACTGATGGAAAAAAGGGATTACTCATTCCTGAAGTCACCTGCCCAACACATAGTGCAGAAAGCACTAAATTCCAGCCAATGTTTTCTTGAACTCAACGAACTCTGTAAATATTTTTTAGCAGCACAGTAAGACTAAATGTATTGTAAACCATGGTTATTGGGTGATATGAGACAAAGGTGGATATATGGTGTTAGGTAGCAAATCAGTAATGTCACATGATGTTGGGATTATTCTATCAAGAGAGATTAAAGAGTCTGGGCCTGTATTCTCTAGTGTTTTGATAAATGAGGAGGCACCTCATCAAGCTATGAAATATTATTACAGTCTTCAACAGGATGGATACAGGAAGGGTATTTCTCCAGTCTGGGCTGTCTAGAATAAGGGGATAGTATCAAAATAAGGAGTAGGGCATTCAGGGCTGAGTTGAGGAGGACTTTGTTCAGTCAAAGGGTAGTGAATCTTTGAAATTTTCAACTCAGAGGCCTGGAAAGGCTTAGTCATTGAATATGTTCAAGACAGAAATTGACATATTTCTAGATTATAAAGACATCAAAAGGATTATGGGGGACAAAGTGCAGGAAAATGCTGTCAGGTTAGGAGATCGGCAGTGATTGCATTGAATTATGAAGCAGGTTCGAAGGACCTGCTCCTATATTCTCTTTAGCATAGAGGAGTTTGAGGGAAACCTGTTAGAGGAATTTCAAAACAACAACAGGTTTTGATAGAGCTAAGTTGGAGAAACTGTTTCTGCTGGTAGGTGGGAATCAATAACCAAAAATCATAGTTTTTAGTAACTGGCAAAAGAATAGAGGAAAATTTTGTTCAGGATAAGGTTTGTTAAGAGATAGAACACACTACTTGAAAGGGTGGTGGAAGGAGATTCCTTGGGAAATTTCAACTGAGTAATTCAATGTGTACTTGAAGGGAACCAATTTCAGGATTTGGAAGAAAATGTTGAAGTGTTGGACTAAACTGGACTGCTCTTTCAAACAGAGCAATGGCCTCAATGCCTCATTCTATTTTATATGATTCAATTATTATATCTCAATAACGTTATCGTTCAGTTTATCTTGCTGCTTTTTGTTCACATATCCTGCCCTAGTGGACCCTGAGGTTCATCACATCGCATTTGCTAACAGGAGGAACAGCAAATCAAAGTCTAAAAAAATTATTGTACACCATTATTAAACTTAAATTAAAGAGTTTGTAAGGAACCTTGGCACAATTGAATTCTTCCATGAGTAATTTCAGAAGCAGATTTACTTTTATTTTGAACAGTCAAATTTTGCACTATGTATGTTATGTGCATCTATTATTAAGTGCAATTATGAAAATACAGATGGACAATGAATGTCGCAGTATGTACTCATAACAAGCCTCATTAAACTTCCACTTATAAACCAAGGTACATCGAAAATTAAATCAGACAGATAAAATACACCTATTTTGCTAAAATATTATTTATGAAATGTCCCCTCTGCAATTTTCTACCCTCAAAAGTTCAGATCTGTGATGCCAGACTCATTTCATTGTTAGACGAAAACTTGAGCATCATCTGCTCCTCCATGGATGGGTACGTCAACACACATATATACACAAAATTGAACTTGACAATTAGACCCCCAGATACTTCTTCCCAGTCTAGGGGTATTGAAGCCAAATCTGATGTCTATACTGCTGCTTTAGCTGAGGTCAACTAACCTAACACAGGCAAGGCATCACCCAAGTGACAATCCTGTTCAGTGGAGCTTCAGTTATACAGCCAACTGCATCTTTCAAGTTACTTGAGAAATCTCAAGAAAGGGTTTAATGTCAAAGAAGCCTCAGACACTTACCCAAGAGAGCTTGCCCTCGGAGGATGTGGTCATGTTCATCAAAATGAATATGTTGAGCTCCGTGGTGCTTGGAGAAATTGGTTGGGCTGGATGCTGAAGCAGGTGGCAGTTGGTGATGAACTGCAATGCGGGGTGAAACCTGACCTCTGTTGTTCGTGTCAAACTGAGGTGGCAATGCTGCCTGAGCCTGGATATAACAAGAGTGACCTGGTGTCTGTCCAGGAGAGATTGTAGGGTGTTTTTGGGGACTGCACAGATCTTGCTGGTTAAAAGGTCGACTCTGAATATTCTGTGAGCAAAAGCCTTGTTGTGATATCAACTGTGAATAGGACTGATCATGAATGTTCTTGTGACCAGGACTAAACTTCATATTCGAAGTCACATTCATCAAGTTGTCAGAAAGCCATACAGGGCCACCTTGAACCTGGGAAAGAAAATAAACAGCATATCACACACATATATACATTTCAGAAGGAGACTTAGGGTCTATCAAAAACTTCATTACAAAATATCATGATTGATTTGTTCTGTTCTTAACTTATTAGTTAACCAGATCATTTAATGTGAATGAAATAGACAACCAGAATCTTCCCAGTCCCTTAATGACATGGGCATTGGTGGGAAAGTTGGGAGATCAACAATAAGGACTTGCCCACTGTCATGAGCAAACAATCTCGTTTTTAAAAAAAACATTGAAAGACAAGATGAGATTCTCGCTAGGGAGGGTCAAGGGGCCTATTTAAACATATGTACATCCTCATTATTATGTCATCTGGCCTTATTGATCCTCTCAACTACCACACAGAAACTAAATGGTGATTATTCCCAACATCAAAGTCAGAATAATCTGGCGACTCCAATTTGCCACACGTGCCTCCAAAGATCCATCAATCACAAATATCTCAGGACACACTCCATAGGCAATGACCACACACACCGTCCCATCCAAAGGGCTTCCAGGACCCCACCTGTAAGACAGGTTGCCAATTACCCTCTGTTCAACATGCCCAGGGAAAATACAATAAACTGTTCAGAGCAGCAGTGGACTGCCAGTGCCTGACCACATGCATGGTTAGGCTTTAAAGATGGCATGGACACCAGAATCCCTTTCACCTGTGGGGTGTGGAAAAATACAAATGGGGCACCGTGGGGCTACGGTACATAGGTAATGAAACATGTTTGGGAAGATAGTATGAGAAAGCCCGCTAGGGCTTGAGGAGAGAACCCTCCATGAAAGGTGCCAAAAGCAACACTTAGCAGATTTTTGGTAAGATTCAACTTGTTCTTTCACTTGGTCAAATTTGAATGCACAACTTTCTTTGAATCCAATCAAGGACTAAAGCTATTATTTTTATGACAAAAATCCAAAGCATTCTAGGTAATATTAAACATGAACCTTCCATGAATCTCAATGAAATTGACAAGTAGATTCAGCCCAGAGTCATTGTTTTAGACCTTACATTTGAACTTATATCACAAAGAAACAGGTTCCGAAGAAAATAAATTAAATTGAAACATGAATATTGTTTGTACTTCCACAGGTAGAGCTTGATCTGTCAATGATTTCTTTGAATATGCAGCTCATACATGCCATTTAACCAGCCATTCTTGTAAGAAATATCAATTCTTGAGAAATACTCAATTTTTTCCAACACTACTTATTTATTTTAGATTTCCAGCATCTATATTATTGTTGTTTAAAAATTAACAGGAAGTTGCTAATATGAACTTGCAAAAACATTTAATTCACAACCACATAGCCAGTTTATAGCAAACATATTTACACAAGTAATTGAGAGAAAACAATATTCATATCTATACAGACACAATTGCTGAAATCAAAAGGGATGATATGTACATTGCTATAGCAAGTTATGATTATAATCATGAAAGACTGCATAAGCAAATGTTTAGGGAAGCAAGATGGGCATTTGAAGTTCAGTGATTAAATAAATTGTTAAGTATTCTAAGTTTGGTCATACAGTTCCATGGTATCACACTGGTGAAATGTGCTAGTTGAAGTTAAAATGTTTCCCAGATGTACATTTTAAAGTACGATTTCAAACAGAGTGAATAAGTAGAAGAACCTAGGTTTTGTGAATACTATTATTAATAGGGGAAGCAGCAGCACATAAGTCCAGAAAATGGTAAAGCAAAATCCTTGATTTTGTATTTAGCTGGTAAGAGACCACAAATCAAAGGGAAACCTAAAAATTGGCAACAGATAGAATGATGACTTTTCTGTCAGAAATTATTGAAACCATAATGAGTACCTTTTAAAAAAGCATTATTTTGCTTCTTGAGAAACGAGGACATAAAAAGATATGAAGGGCAGGTGAATGGGAACTGATGTGGTAGCACATGCAGGAAAACAATGATGGGTGTAATGGATCTTGATGGGATAACCGCACATTACGAAAAGATACAAAGTTTGCTTTCAGGAGGTTGGAAAAAGCTAAATTTCTCATGTTGGAATATTGCCATGAACATTAATGGTTTCTCCATAGTCTATTTAGCAGAATTCTGATTCAGTGGTAGCCATGGCTTGATTCACATGTTCCAGAATTGGAAGAACAGAGCATCAGATGATATTAAAGCAGCTCTGGTATTGCATGTTACAATGGTTATTTCTTGATCTTCCAAACAACATCAATTCAAGTTAACCAGTTGGGATTCAAAGTAACTTTGGCATATCTATAATTCAGATGAGAAAATCAGTAACTTCTGTGGTGATTACTTCTCTGATCCAGTACCAAGAGATGGTTCAACATAATTTTTCCCCTTTGTAAACTAAAATTGTCATTTATGAGTTAAAAGAGAGAAATAGCTACCTTTTCTCTCACATCATTATTCTTTCTGCCCGGCGTCCAAAATGATCCCAAATCTGATCTTGGTGTCATCCTTTCTCTACCTGAAAAATGAACAATAATGATGACTTGTACAATGAGGCAGTATTATAAGCAACAAGCCATACTGGAACTGAAGCACACATGTTGCCTTGTTTGGCCATGAACTTCAATCATTTCCTGTTAATCTTGTATACATGCAATGTGTTGAAGAATAAACGAAAAGCTGAACTTGTACAATTGCTTTTCATCCAGGGTCTTCCAGGTTTGCTTTTGACTGAAGCTGTTGCAGAACTTAGGATGGAAAAATTATATCTGTCCTCTTTGAGACCAATGCTCATAAACATTCTCCTACCCTGTGCATGAATGGCACATTTTGCACTGAGGCTGCACAGGGAATGATCATATTGCCTCTAATGTAATGAGAAGCAGTTGATAGTTAGAAAATTTGCGTCAAGTTTACTTTTCTTTTGTATCATTGTGCATAGCTTTGAGGCTGCAGAAAATGTTAGAAATACTGAGCAGGTCGTGCAAAATCAAACCAAGTGAAACAAAATTAACAGGTCAGATTAATAACCTTTCATCAAAGGTTTCAGGTCAATGATCTTTTTGTTATGAAAGGTTATCAACCTGAAATGTTAACATTTGTCCAAAGTCTTCAGAGAAATGGCAATCACTATCAATTGCTGCTTTTCTCTTACTTTTTTATACTATGATGGAGCTCTGCATTTCTGGGCCAGATATCTCATCTCAGCTTCTTCCGTGGTGTGAAGCATACCTAAAATCCAACTGCTCCCTCACAGTGCAGGAGTGTCGGGGAAGACAAGACACACCCCTTTCTACAGCGCCAGCTGCCACATGCTGATAAGCAAGAGTTCAAATGTCAATTGTATCAATTGCAGTATGTCCAATTCAGTTTCACAGAAGAAAAGAAACAGTTTCAAAAATAGAAATAATATTTATTGATTATTAGGTAGCCTACATTTCTTTCTTTAGGTGTTCTCCTCCCTCTCTCCCTGAGACCCTCACCCTAACAGTGTTCTTGTCTCTTCCTCACACTCTGATATTATTCTCATTTCTCTGTATGCACATTCCTCTCAAAACCCCTTCACGTGTTCACTTCCCTCCGTCACTCCATGACGACACAGAATCTACTGACATTGGCTGGACTGGAGGCAGGAATCAGATGAAGAAACATTTCTTCACTCAAAGGGTAATGAGCCTGTGGAATTCTTGACCACAGAAGGCTGTGGAGGCCAAGTCACTTAATATATTTAATTAGCTTTATTGTCACATGTACTCATATGAGTACAATGAAAAGTTTACAAATTGCCACTTGCAGCGCCATCTTAGGTACAAAGGTACCTAAGGTACAGATTCTTAGGTACAAATTCTTTGGAAAAAGAAATAGGAAAATAAGGAAATAAAAAATTTAGCAAGGCATAAGAGGCCATAAACCAAACCATTATATTTACAATTACTTCCACAATCAGCAATACATATCTGGTGAACAGAAGGGCATAGCCAATACATTTTTTAAAAACTTAAATAGATAAATCAAATATTTGCACATTCTAACAATTAATTTGTGTGTAATAATTTTTATGTAACATTGATACCAAGCTAGGGACCATGGGTTTCTGCCAAGGGTGTTCATTTGATTAAACAGGTCAATTTCTGACCTGCATATCTGTGAACACAAGGGGCAATATATCCCATCCCTGAGGTAATGGAATCCAGAGAACAGAAGTTGTTTCTTTTTCTTTCCTGCTCTGCCATGGCTGGCTATCTGCCTGACATGTGTCTAAGTGTGATGTATCTTGATGTCACCACTTTGAATGATTAGTCGCAAACTTCTCCCAGTCATTAAGGTTGATGCCCTGTTCTTCAACAGAGCTTCAGAGTGTGGTGAAAGCATTCTGTTTTGTCTTCTTATGGAACTTATGCCATTTTAGAGTAAAAGAACAGGATATAGTGGTGGACAGCTTTTGACCATCCAAAACACCATCCACAGCATCCAAAATACGGAAGTTGATTTTGCAAGTGTTTTGCCAAATACTTGCACAGTATCCTTCAGGAAGGATACGAGTGTTTGGTCTATGGTCCACCAATTGGATCTGAAAGATGCAGAAGGGTCATTGCTGTTTGAAACCTTCTACAAGCCTACTAAAAATGCTGGTAGTGAGTGTTTGACAAGACCAATCTCCACTAGTGAGCAAAAGTCATATTGTACTGAAAAATGATTGTCAGTATGCTCCTGTATATCAGTGGGATCTGATACATGACAATAAGAGTCCTAAAGAAATGCCACCAATATACATATAAACACATATACATGAGAAGGCAAGATACAATAACGTGAATTATTGTCAAACTGAAGTAGTAGTACAGCTGCCAGTTAGATATATAGCAGATGTGGAATAAGGTTAGCCACCGAGGTCTCTCAACATAAAGGGATTGCAGGAGAGAAGCAGATTACATGGAAAGGCCTTGAAAGAGGGATGAGAACCAGAGACTCGGTGGAACAGCACAAACAGACAAGATAGACTTCTTGGAAACCTGACCCAGCAACAGGATTAGCCAGAGATTCTTGTCTTTATTTTTTTAAACATATAGGCCAGAGAGTGTGGAGATGGTCTTCAAGGTAAAATAAACCACAAAGTTAATTCAAGGCAAAAATCCTCAGTTAGCGCTGAAAAGTTGATTTAGCCTCATGACAGAAGAACCGCAGTCAAAAAAAGCATCTGATGGCACAATATTAGCAAGAGAAAGAGGTGACCTGACCTCAACAGGGTAAGCCTTCTGATATGGAGTCATAGAGTCTTACAGCACAAAAACAGAACCTTTGGTTCAAATGTCCATGCTGACCAGGTTTCCTAAACTGAACCAGTCCAATCTGTCTGCATTTGGGCCATATTGCTCTAAAATCCTTTCCTATTCATGTACCTGTCCAGATGTCTTGGGACTTTCTGATTCTGATGGTTGCTGATTACACTGCATTGGATCTATTATAGCATGCAACCTTAATGACATGTCTGGAGCCAACAAGAGAGCAGGCAGTAAGACACCTTACATTGAGGCCATATTTAGAATACTGCATATAATTCTGGTCACCTTGCTATTAGAAGGATGTTGTTAAACTAGAAAGGGTACAGAAAAAATTTCCAAGGATGTTGGCGGGTTTGAGTTATAAAGAAAGGCTGGATAGGGTGGGACTTTTATCCCTGGAACATCAGACACTAAGTAGTGACCTTATAGAGGTTTATAAAAGTAGTGACCTTATAGAGGTTTATAAAATCATTAGGGCCATAGATAAAGTGAATAGCCAAGATCTCTTTCCAATGGTAGTGGAGCCCAAAACTAGAGGGCACAGGTTTAAGGTGAGAGGGAAAAGATTTAAATGGTACCTGAGGGGCAACATTTTCACACAGAGGGTGGTGTGTCTATAAAGTGAGCTGCCAGAGAAGGTGGTAGAGATAGGTACAATTACAACATTTAAAAGACATCTGGATAGGTACAACATGAAGGGAAAAAATAAAGAAATAGCACATGTGCATCTCAGATCTGAAGTTAATAGACCTTGAAGACAAGTTTGTGAATTTTGAGTTTAAAGAGCAATATCAACACATGTTTCTCAAGAGGTTGCATATTAGTGTCATAACTGATTGAATCTCGCTGTCATAGCGGTTTACCAACATCTGATTCACAGGCCTACAGTAACTGAATGCTACCACTTTGCGATAAAAAAATGCCTGTATGTACCCTTGGGCAGATTAAGCAAGGATATATGCACTTTCATGACTGAATGGCCCATCAAAATTTATGGTGAAGATTAATTTTAATCCACCTTAACTAAATAAACGATGCTGAATAGCAGTTAAGAAGCTAGAATGTAGCTGTTGACACTAACTACAAACCAACTATAACTCATTTATGCTATTGCTTAGGATGCCCTTCTTTATTCGTTCAAGGATGTTGCCATTCCTGCCTGGGCCAGTACTCACTGCCAATCTTTGTTGCTCTACAGATGGTAGTGGTGAGCTGCTTTTTGGAACTGCAGCATCCATATGGTTTGGTACTCCCATGGAGCTGTCAGGGGAGGGAGTTCCAGGATTTTGACCAAGTGACACTGAAAGAGCAACAATTTATTTCCAAGTTAGAATTGTGAGTGGGTTGGAGGGAAACTTGCCGTTGGTGGCGTTCTCATGTATCTGCAACTGTTGCCCTATTGTTAGCACTTTGCAGTTATAGCGTCTGATGCCTTGGTTAATGGAAAGTGGTCCAGTCAGTTCCAATTCTTTGAGATGTTTTAGCAGTTTTATACAACTGATAGGCTTGCTGGGCCACCTCAGAGGACAATTCAGAGTCAATCATATTGCTGTGCGTCTGGATCACAAGTAGGCCAGGGCAGGTAAGGATAGCAATTTTCCTTTCCTAAAAGGCAATAGTTAACCAGATGAGTTTTTATGATAATCAACAATGTTTTCATGGTCATCATTAGACTTAATTGTAGATTTAATTAAATTCAAATTTGAACCCATAAGACTATAAGGCATAAGGGCAGAAGCAGGCTATTCGGCCTATCAAGTGTGTTCCATTACTCAACAAGACCGTGCTGATCTGATAATTCTCAACTTCATTTTCCTGCCTTTTTTCCATAAACTTTGATTTTTTTACCATTTAAAAACTGTCTATCCCAGCTTTAAATATTCTAAACAACCCAGCCTTGACAGCTCTGTGATACAGAATTTCACAGAAAGACTATCCTCTGTCTTATCTGTCTTAAGTGAGTGACCCTTTCCTCTGAGATTATGCCCTGTCGTTCTCAACTATCTCACAAGGTAAAACAGCCATTCACCATTTACCCTATCAAGCACCCTAAAAATTTTGTTTCATTTCAACAAAGTCACATGCTATTCTTCCAAATTCCAATCAGCCCAAGCCAAACCCACTCAACCTCTCTTCACAAGAAAATCTCTCCATATCCATAATTAACTTAGTCAACTTTCTCTCGATTCCTCCAATGCCAGGATATCTTTGTTCAGACAAACTGTTCACAGTATTCTAGGTATTGTGGTCAGATTAATATCTTGTATAGTTTGAGAAAGACTTTTCTATTTTCATAGCCCATTCACTTTATTTCAAAGGCCAATATTCCATTTGACTTCCCTAAGGCTGGTAAGCTGGTAAGTGAACTTGGATATAACCTTTTTTGGTTCATTCATGAGGACTATGAATCCCGCTGCAGCTTTCTGTAGTGTTTCTCTCTTTAAATAATATTCAACTCCTCTATACTTCCTGCCAAAGTGTATAATCTCATATATTCCCACATCACACTCCATCTGCCAAATTTTTGCCCACTCATTTAACTTGTCCATCTGCCTCTGCAAATTCTTTGTGTCATCCTCAACACTTGCCTTCCTATCTATTTTTGTGCATCAACAAATTTGGCTCGAGCACACTCATTTCCCTCAACTAAGTCATTAATATATACCATAAATAACTGTGGCCCCAGCAGTGATGTCTATAGTACACCACTGATTACAGGTCACCATCCTGAAAATACACCCTTCATTCCAAATCTCTGTCTTCCATTAGTCATTCAAATTTCTATCCATGCTAATTTACTAACCCCAAAACCACTTTTATTATGTATTCTTGTGTGGTATCAATATATATTACACCTACTGGCTCCCCTTTATCTATCCTGCTTGTTACTTCCTCAAAGAATTCTAATAAATTTGTCAGGCATCATCTCCCCTTTATGAAGCCATGCTGACTGTGCTTCATCATATTATGTACTTCTAAATGCTCTGCTATTGCATTCTTTATAATAGACTTTAATACTTTTCCAATAACATATTAAGCTAACTGGCCAATAGTTATCTGTGTGTAAACAATGGTATACACTAGCAGTTTTCCAATACTCTGGATTCTTGGAAGATTACTACCACTGTGTCCACTACCTGAGTAACTATTTCCTTTAATATCCTCGGACACAATCCATCAGGTCCAGTAGACATATTCATTAGACCCATTAGCTTCCCTAGCTATTTTTTCTCTAGTCATAGTTACTGTATTTATTTCATCACTTCCTTTTGCCCCTTGGTTATTTAGCAGTTTTAGAATGCTACCAGCATCTTTTAGCATGATGCAAAGTATTTATTCAACTCTTCTACTATTTCCTGATTCCCCATTATTGTTTCCCAGCCTCATTCTCTAAGGGACCTATGTTTTCTTTGCTGTCTGTTTTGATATTACTTGCTATTTAGCCCCCAAAATGTATTTTCTCCTTTTTTAAAGTTATCTTTTGTTGGCTTTTAAACTTTCCCAAACATCTGGCTTTTCAATAATCTTTGCCACATTGTATGTTTTATTTCTTTCAATTTGATGTTATTCTTAACTTCTTTGGTTAACCATGGCTGATTAATGTCCTTACTAGGATTATTCTTCCTTACTGGTATATATCAGCATTGTGATTCATGAACTGTTTTCTTAAACATCTGCCATTGTTCCTCAACTGAGTTTTGTGCTAAATTCCTTTCAAAGTTCACTTTAGATAACTGAGCTCTCAGTCCTTTCCAATTATCTTATTTAAGTTTAGCATAGTTGTTTCTGAACTAATTTTCTTGCTTTCAAACTGAATACTAAATTCTAACATGGTATGGCAGGCAAATTTTTTTTAAAAATATCATCCAAACACGTGCCCAACACTTACTTCAGGGAAAGGAAAAGAGGAACCCAGCTCTGCACATATAAGCACCTCCCAACAATCTCAGGACAGCAGTAACATTAGCACAGACTGGGAAGCTGTTTATATGATGATTGCCGGGCTTATAAATAAATGTTAACGAATAATATTGTTTAAGAATCTGAATGGATCAAAGCAACTTTTTAAAGAAAATATCTGGATCATCAAGCATCAGTATAAAAATCATAGACAAGGACATAAATAGTGAGAAACAAAAATCCTCAATTGAACATACCAAGCTCACTTATTTCATTGACCACAAATAATCTACAATATGACTAACACAAATGCTGTACCCAACAGACAGCTTAAATTCTACAGATAATAGCTCACCAGACTTTGCATGTTCCAGATCTCTGTCCATTTGCGATTGATGCGTCGAAGTCCCATGGTTATAAGGACCAGGTGAAAGCCTTCCTGGAGTCTGTAACAACTTGAAATTATATGCCATGGCAGTCTGACGAGCCACAAACCTTGGGTCTAATGCTAATCTGCTCTGGTATCCCAACCAGGTCACCTAAACAAAGTTGGAACAAACATAAGTAACGAGTGCCTTTATATCATATTTCTGTCAAGGACACAGATTTATCAAAAAAGATTTTATTATTATAAATGTGGACAAATAAATAGTACTTAAGCAATTCAAAAATTACAAGTAATGCTACTGCCAAATTTCTAAAATGTTATCATTTGGAAACCGTAAAAGATCTTCAAATGTGGTCATATTTTGCTTTATTTGGAGCATAGTGGAGAAGAGTACAGTTATTTAACAATATTTGCATTTTCAAAAGGAAAACAGAATGCATTTGTAAACATTTACTGCTAATTTGTAAAATAATTTCAAAATTTTCAGTAGCTACTTTTGAGACTACATTTGACATTTTCATTATATCCCTCAGCATCATCAGGCTGTTTTTCACTTTTTGCTAACCGCAGACATGAACAAACATTGTAATGAAATTCTACTGAGCCTGTTATTTGCCTACTTCATAGCTTTTAGACTGAATTTCAATTTCTGTGCTATACAAAAAAATTACAACAGAATGCTGACTGTCGTGGCTTGCTGTTCAAAGTTAGAATGACAGGCATCACTTCATGTCAGCGGAATTATAAAGAGACCCTGCGTGTCAAACCGGGGTAAATATTTGACAGAGTTATACTATTTTGTGATTACAATAGGATAAAATATGATGACTAATTGTTTAGAAGTTACAGCTGCAGTTAGTATTCAGCCCATTTATCAACCATACAATACGTAATTCCTGAAATCTTATTGCATTTAATCCCAGTTTGTCCATTTTATTCTAAGGCAGATTAAACTAGGGCAAAGGAAGATCAAATTAATTTTTTTTCTTTCTGAGCATTATACAATTTTGGAACTCTCTGCTTCAACAGGTGGTACAAGTGGTGTCATTGAATATTTTTAAGGCAGAGGCAGATATCTTCCTCTCAGGCAAGGGAATACACGGTTATCAGGAGTAAAGGGATTGTGGACCTCAAAACACAAAGAGAACAGCAATGATCTTAATGAATAGAGGAGCAGGTTTGAAGGATCGAATGGTCTACTTCTTTTCCTATTTTGTACTTTGTATGCCAACATAATTACATTTTGCAATGGGCTCATATCATGTGACTGCTTCCAAGTCATTTCACCAGAAACGCTAAGGGCAAGGAAGCTGGCTCAACATGAATTTGGCATGTATAGTGAACTACAACAAAGTCATTTACAATTTAAGAAAATATCAGAACCGCCTCATATGGATTTTAGGTTTACAGATACATTTTCCTCATTTGCTAGACTGCCTCCAAAACCTTGCTAATAGTTAAAGGTTTTGCTCACCAGACTACATCGTTTCAATCTAAATGACAATTCTACTCATTTAGTGATAAAACAATCCATAACAGCAGACACAAATTGCATAGTCCTGTCGTTTTAATTCTAAAATAGAAATGAAGATGCATCAGGTGAAAGGACCAACTCGTGGAAACTGTTTGAATATGATATAAATGGATACCAATGCTAAGAATTCAGGGTCACTAGGAAACAGGCTGTTTATAAACGCTGAAGTATTAATGTACCTGATAAGGTGCATTGAGTTTTTGTGGATGGGTGAGCAAAGTCTATAGAGGTACAAGCAGGATGACTCTGTATGTGATTTGATTTAGTAATGCATTGCTCAAAGTGAATGAAAGGCATTTGAAGGGAATACTATGTCAGTTACAGAAAGATGTCCATTTCATTTTTTTAACATCAACAGGGAAACAGGCAATAGAGATTATGATGAACAAAAGGAATACTGAGGTGCTCTTAAATAGATTAAGCTGTGATGATGGTCAAGTCTGGGCATTACCTTGAGGAATGCCTGCAGAGACGTTCTGGATCAGAGATGATGGATCTCAAACAACTACCACCATCTTGCTTTTTGCAAGGTATGACTCCAGGTATGAGCATACCCCCAACACCCTCCAATTCCCATTGACTTCAGCTCCTTGATGTCACACTCAGTTGAATGCAGCCTTGATATCGGGGGCATACATTCTCACCTTACCTCTGGAATTCAGCTCTTTTATCCATATTTGAACCACGGCTATAATGAGGTCAGGAGTTGAGTGGCTCTGGTAGAACCCACAATGAGTGTCAGTAAGCAAGTTAATTCTGAGCAAGTGTTGATTGATAGCACTGTTGATACCTTCCATCATAGGTGTACAATAATTGGCTGGATTGAATTGATCCTTCTCATGTACAGAACATACCAGGGCAATTTTCCACATTGTTGGGTCTATGTCAGTGCTGCAGCTGTACTGGAACCGTTGGATTCACATGGAGTGAATCAAACTGGCTGAAGACTGGCATTTGTAATTCTGGAGACATCTGGAGGAGCTCAGCCTGATTCATCCACTCAGTACTTCTGACAGAAGATTGTTGCAAATCCTTCAATCTTGTATTTTGTACTGATATTCTGGATGACCCCATTATTGAGCATGAGGATATGTATAAACCTTCATCCTCCAGTGAGTTGTTTAATTGTCCACCATCATTCACAACTGGGTATGGTAGGAGCTTATATGTGATCCATTGGTTGTGAAATTTCTTAGCTCTATCTTTTACTTGCTGCTTCTTCTCTTTGACACTCAAATAATCCTGTTTGTAAGTTCACCAGGTTGACACCTCATTTTCAGGAATATTTGGTGCTGCTCCTGGTAAGTTGTTCTGCACGCTTCATTGAACCAGGATTGATCCCGCTAACTTCATGGGAATGGTAGAGTTGGGGATATAATGGGGCATGAGGTTACAGATTGTGGTTGAAATCAATTCCGCTACCACTGGTGGCTCATGGTGCCTCATGAATGCACAGTCTTGAGCTGCTAGATCTGTTTGAAGTCTATCTCATTTAGCATAGTGACAGTGCCACATAATACGATGGAGGGTATCCGCAGAGAGATGTCAGGACTTCATCTCCACAAGGACTGCGTGGTCATCATTCATTCCAATGTCATGGACATATACACCTGGGGCAGGCAGATTAGTTAGGTTGTGGACAAGTCTAATTTTCCCTCTTGTTGGTTCCCTCATCAGCTGCTGAAGTCCTAGTCCAGCAGCTACGTCCTTGAGGACTCAACCATTCGGTCGGTAGTGGTGCTGCCGAGGCACTCTTGATGGTGGATACTGAACTCCCCCACTCAGAGTAAATTCTGTGTCATTGCCACCCACACTGCTTTCTCCAAATGATGTTCAACATAAAAGAACACTGATTCATCAGTTAAAGTGGGGTGGGATGTGACAATCTGCAGGAGGTTTCCTTGCCCATGGTAATGTGTATAATATTTGCATGCCTTCTTTCTGATGCCATGAGACTTCATGGGGTTCCAATCAATATTGAGGACTCCTAAGGCAATTAACTCTCAATATTATACCACTGCACCACTTAACACTTTTGGGTCTGTCCCATCAGTGGTGATGCCATGCCACTAGTGGTGTCAGTATCTGTTATGACACTGTGTGTAAGATATGGTTCTGAGAATATGATATGTCAGGCTGTTGCATGCCTAATCTGAGAGACAAACAATTTTTTCACCAGTCGCAGATGTTAGCAAGGGGGTCTTTGCAGGGTCAATAAGGCTGTGTTTTCTGCAATCATTTCTGGTGCCTTAGTCTGTTCAGTTTCATTCCTTTATGTTGAGACTTTCTATCAGTTGAAACAATTGAATAGCTTGCCAGGCCATGTCAGATGGCAGTTAAGAATCAATCATATAGCTGTGGGTCTGGAGTCATAGTTGGGCCAGATCAGGTCAGAAAATCAGTTTGCCTTCCCTAAAGGACATTAGTGAACCAGATAGATATTGATATTCGACAACGTCTTCATGGTTGTTACTATAGAATTCAATTTCCACCATCTGTCATGATGGGACTCAAACCTAGGAACATTACCTAGATCTTTGTATAACTAGTTCAGCAATAATACCACAAGCCAATTGCCCTCCATGAAACACCATTCTGTGAGGTGTTGATGTGAGCAGCAGCTGTTGGTTGATGAGGCCGAAGATAGTATAATTCAGGGCTCTACAGAGTGGAGGTGAGTTGAAGAACCAGAGCATGGCCAATGTAGAAAGCCTTTTCTGAAAAATGGGGCAGAAACAGTCTGCATAATTAATGACCAGTTTAACATTATCATAGGCATATTTGAAGATTACCCTAAGACACTAAGTGAACAGCAATGTCCAACTCAAATTTCCACAAATTAAGAAGTAAAGTGTTTAGGTGGAAATGTAATATTTGCATGCCTTCTTTCTCTGAGTGGCAGCAGACAATGTGAAAAAGGAGTTCTTTTCCCAACAGTAGCACTTTAACACAGAGAGATTTTCATTAAATTATCCTTTGTTTACCTGCTCCATTTTCTGAAAAAGCAGATTACGCATTTACAGGTAAAACATTAGAGTTATCCTTTAAATAATTGGAACAAGATTAGCATGCATACTGGGAAAAACCAGTGACTACCTGCCAAAAACTGTTAGCTTAAACCACAAATATTCCTGCCCTATGATCCTCTCAGTAGTTTATAAACTCAGCTTTATGGGGAAAGAAAGATTAAGTGGAAAAGAATTAAGATGAACAAAGCTCCATGTATTTATTAACGGGCAAGTGATCAATAAAACTAAGTAGATTACTTGTGTAAATCTGACAGAATCTGTGCTGAAGATGATTTTGTCAAATCAGCATAATTGAGGTGCACCAGTGACCTATGTCATCAAATTAGTTTTGATAACAGAGCTGTCACCACAAAATGAAGACTCCCAACATCATTTAGTTCAGTGTTTTTACTGGCACAGACATGTTCTTCATTTCAAATTCAATTGACCCAGATTTTCATTAATACAGATTTCTGTGTGCAGTGTCAGTTTCACCACTGCATCTCGAGGATGATAATAGCATTCAAACATAAACCACCTGTAATCCATATAGCAATGAATTCTGTAGAATGATCTGAAATGGTGCAATATGGCTTTAATTTCATTCTA